CCCGCCCCGGCTTGGCTTATTCATGCCACGGTGTACCGACTCTGCCCTCACGTGAGCGTTAGGCCGAGTCTCATCATCATCATCGTCGCCGAAAAGCAAATCTTCCTCGTCATAGTCATCGCCAACGAGGATCTGATCCGAGGGACCCATGAGAGCCGGGATCCATCCGTTCTCAGACCTGTTGGAGCTCGGGACCCCGCCCCGGCTTGGCTTATTCATGCCACGGTGTACCGACTCTGCCCGCACGTGAGCGTTAGGCCGAGTCTCATCATCATCATCGTCGCCGAAAAGCAAATCTTCCTCGTCATAGTCATCGCCAACGAGGATCTGATCCGAGGGACCCACGAGAGTCTGTATCCATCCCTTCTCAGACTTGTTGGATATAGTAACTCCGGCTTGGCTAGGCCTCTTCGCGGCGTTCCCGTGTACCGACTCCGACCTGACTTGATTGTTCGGCCGGGCCTCATCACCATCATCGCCGCCGAAGAGCAAGTCTTCTCCGTCATAACCATCGCCTATGAGAATCTTGTCTTTATGAGACACGGACGCGGCTTGAAGGGATCCTCGGCGTGGCTGGGACTCGAAGAGCTCCTCCTGGCGCGAGGTTCTGTCGCGCAGTCCGGGTGTACCGTTCGATAACGAGACGACTCTAATTTGCGAAGACGGCACTTCGGTCCTCAAAATTGCGCTATTCTGCCACGGGTACAGTCTCGGGTGAATGAAGCCCGTCGTCTCATCGCGAACTCTCCAAGGCTCAAAAACCAGCTCGTCCCGTGGCTCAGACGGCGGCCGCACGCCGCTGTACAACACATAAAGTCCTGGCTCGTAGCTTCGCGGATCCTCCTCACTTCTCCGGCCGCCAGTCGCCTCCCTCCCAGCTACAACACTAGGGGTGTGCAATTCGTCGCGGCCTGACCAGGAGACCGAAACCGGGTCAGCAACCGCGCGGTTTGGCAACTGATTGTAGACGTGATTAATAGATCCGTAAGTCCCAGAGATGTCCTGACCTATCACTCCGGAACTGGTCGCCTCACCCTCGAGAAGAGATCCGTCGGGTATGTGACCTTCCGAGTTAGTCACTCCGTACCACACGGGACTTTGGAAACTCGACGCGGTGCGGGCCTCAAGTCTTCGGAGCAGTGCCCGGCCTTTAAATAACGGGTCTAGACTCGGAACTATTGCACCGACCTCCGGACTAACCACCGGACTAATCACCGGACTAATCACCGGACTAATCACCATGGTAGCTGCTGGGTTGGCCAAGGGCACACTTACAGGCAGCCCCCACGAAGGAACTAAGTCAATCTCGGCGTGAGCTTGCTCGAGTTCGGGAGCCAGATGGTTTAGACGCCCAGAGTGAACGAGTCCAAAAACGTTCCCACCGGCCGTGTTCAAGTCTGAATTGATCGGTACCAGGTCCTCGGGGAGTGCTAGGAAGGCATAGTTGCGTCCTCCGCCGGTGTATTCGGCGACTGAAGGTAGTTTGCGTCCCTCATAGCCGTCGGAAGACTCCTGTCCTCCGACGGGGATGCCCGCGCCCGTGACGACTCGCTTCCTGAAGCTCACGTCTTCATCTGGAACGTTCTTGTTCTCGATTAGGCCGTTCCGGCCGGTATAGTCGTCCGCGGTGGAGTTGGACGCAGCGTTCCCAATGTTATTCAGAATCGGCTTCAGCACCCCGCCGGCCATCTGGTCTATGCTCTCGGCCCCAGTCTTCCAGTAATCCGCCAGCGTGCCTAACCACTCGCCCGCCTTCCCCATCCTATCAATTAAGAATCCCGGCAGACTTCCCACAATTCCATCCAGCGGTAGCCAGGGTAGTGTATCGCTGGTGCTCGCCAGCAACTCCTTCACAACCTCGTCCCGGATCTCTCCCACATCAGCCGTCAAAAACTCAGCACTCCCTAACCCCGTTGTTAGACCTGTCGCCACGACCAAATCCGGAACGTCATTGAAGCCCTTCAGCACAATTACATCGTCCTCTTGGCCACTTGCACCTGAAGCCACGCTGGTCAAGGCCTTGCCCTCCCCGCCCAAACTGGTCAACGTCTTGTCACCGTCACGGGCACCGTCACGGTAAGTCGTGATGCCAACCGCTACGGGGTCACCGATCCGCGGAACAAACCTGGTTTCCAACTCTTCATAATCCATGCTCGCCAACGAATCAATTATTCCAAGCAGAATGACGGCCTTCTTGGAGTCTTCGGCAGTCGCAGAATCCACCTTCGCATTACTTTGGTTATTGCCGGTTTGATTACTACCATTCGGATAACCGCGGTCGTCTCCACTGAGTTTCTCGGCTGCACTGAGTTTCTCTGCATAGGGCCTGGTTGCCTCTTGCGATGCCTGCCGCTGAGTAGGTTCGACAAAGTCTATGCCCCTAATTGGTTTCGGGCTTCTTGCCGCCGCCGGATCCGGAGCCAGAGAAGGAGCAGCCACAAGATTTGCCAAACCCCCGGTCAGGGAGTCCAGGTCGTTCTGGCTTAGGGGGAGGTGTTGGTTCTCGACCATCTTCATGATAAACTCGAACCCGCGTGTGACAATGTTGGAAAACGGCATGACGAAGTCGCCCAGAGGAGTCGACACCCGACCACCATCAGACAACGTTTGTGCAACCAGGTCCCCCAAACTTGGCTGACTTGATGTCTCATCCTTCAGGCGTCTGCGCACACGGCTTTCAGTGACTTCCTCCCCGTCCCAGCCAAGTTCCCACGAACTCTTTTCTCCAGAATACTGTCTCGAGCCACCGCTCTCCGCATTCTCAGAACCGGCCTTCTTTGAACCTCTCTTCTCCGAACTCATCGTCGTGCGTGCATCACTCTTCTCCAAACCGACCGTCATGCCGGGAGCGCTCTTCCAGCCCGAACCCACTCCGGAGCTAGTGGCAATAGGACCGTGGTCGCTAGATCTCAACTGCTTGTTTTTTGTAGGAAGCCGCCTGGTCGAGTCGACGTGTTCGGCCAAACCCATTTGGCCGACTCCACCTCTTTTCGCCCCAGTCTGCTCCTCGTCCGAGCTCAAATGAGGCGGCCATCGCTGCTCCTGGTGCGTCGTGTACAACTCGTCCGGTCCTAATGGACGGGGATGACCTTCTCCCCCAGGACGCGCACCCCACGGATCCGCTCCTAACGGGTGCGGACCCACCGGATTCGGTCCCACGTGGCGGGGTCCCAAAAACGGCGCCGGAGAACCTCTGAGATCCGGAGCACCTCCATGGCCCCCTCTGTACTCCGTCGCATTGGTCGTTCCCGGTCTCAACGCCTGCGTTATTCTCTCGGTCGCGTGTGTCGGGCCTGCTGGGACCCCCCCTGTGGGCGGGCTCCAGCCGAAAGTCCCTTGTTCCAAACCGCCAGCAAGTTGCCCTTGGTGTCCATATTCGCGTCCATCTCTACGACTACGTGGTGGGTGGCCGTTTGTCGGTTGGCCATATTCCGGTACTCTAGTGCCAAGGAAGTTATCACTACGGCCTAATGTAGGGTCAAGCGAGTGGTTGGTAGGGTTAAGGGTATGGCTGGTAGGGTTATGCGAATGGGTGGTAGGTAGCATTGACGTTGTGGTAGGTTCAAACGATATAGGGTCAAGGGTGTGAAGATTCGAATTTGCAATTGAATTAGTGCTAGGAGTGGCTCTTAATTGCCGTCTTGCTCTACGCCCAAGTTTGTGTTCTTCGTACTCTTGAGGAGTCTTCACACCGGTCCGGGGTGATCGCGACCTGAAGTTTACGCCAACAAGAGGTGTGGCAGTAACGCCGAGGTTCATCTCATAAGGGGTTTGTCCCGGGAGTACACCATTCCCGAATTCCGAGTCCAGGTATGGCGCAATGTCATCCTCCTCCAAATAATCTGCTACCTCCCTCAAGCCCCGGGATGATCCCAGCAACGGAAGCAAGCACAAATACAGCATTCCACCTCCAAATTTATTTTTCCTCCTCTTTTACCGATCTTTTCAAGTCTTATTTTGGAGACAAGAAAATGGTGGATCCCAGCCAATTCACCGTCAATAGAAAGGTCCGAAGGGTAACTACGGAAACTACACCACCACCACCACCTCCCGGACACAACGGTACTGCGCTAAGTTGTCCACTTCTTGTTCAATCCACTTCATGTTCTACGACCAAAACCTTCTCTTGTTTGATTGCCTCACCCTACTCTTATTCAATAGCCTTGCCTTCCCGTTGTTTTACCCCCTTGTACGTGCTTCTCCCCGTCCGTCTTGAAGACTCTTGTTTTGTCTTAATAGTTCAACCAATCGGAAGCGGATAGAGGTAGAGTGTTTTATTGGGCGATTGTCTCGATCGGAGTCTCAGCTTTAGTTGCGGCGCACGTTATGAAGTACGAGCACCGCTGGGTTCCGAAGACGAGAAAGGGATAGGGCGCGCCACTGCTGACAGGATGAGTCACCGCTGACAGGATGAGTCATCGCTGAGAGGATGAGTCATCGCTGAGAGGATGAGTCATCGCTGACACTGGCAAGTCCCCAGAGTTGTTGCTCCCAGACACGCATGAATGGAGTGACAGAGTTGGAGTGCGTCTGTTCAGGGATCTGCTGCAGGGATCCGTTACCGGAAAGTCGGGTTTGGGGGGTCATGAGTCCGCGCTTCCTGGGTGTTCGAAACAGCGCCGGGCTCGGGATGCGGAGCCGCAGGAGTTGGGTTGACAGGTCTTTTTCGCCGGAAGATCTTTTCCCCTCAGTTTGTTTGGATGACGGCTCCTGTGGTTGAGCCTTTTGGTGGTCGGGCCTTTTGGTGGTCGGGTTGTCCGTTGTGGGGTGCAAAGAAGGCAGTGTCCAGGTTGTGGTGAAAAAAGATTAACGGTAAGACTTTTGTCTGCGGGCGCGGGCGCCGCGACCTCCGAATTTCTTAGACTCGCAGCGTCTCGGGTCGGCGACGAGGAGGGAGCGGTCGAAGCGGAGGAGGGTTTCACGGACTTCGCTCTTGGTGGTCTCGTCAACGTACTTCTGGCACCAAGCGACCACGGCCTTAGCAAGGGCCTGGCGCACGGCGTATATCTGGGCGACGCTGCCACCACCGTGCACACGCACGCGGATTGCCAACTTGCTGAAACGCTCCGCACCCAGCAACAGCAGCGGCTCGAAGGCCTTCACACGCAACTCCGCCGGCTGGATGTGCTCCAGGGGTTTGCCGTTCACACGGATCACGCCCGTGCCCTCAACACAAGACACAACCGCAATGGAAGTGCGCTGCAACAACAAACATTACTCAAACCCCGTCGCGACACACGTGTGTGCACACACGTGTGCGCACTCCGCCGCGGGAGGTCCATTTCTGCGCGTCGTGTGTCCAGACGCGTTGATACAGCACTACGTGTGGGCATCATGTGAGTAGTGTCACTGTGCGGAGCATAGTAAAGTGCCTACCTTGCGACCAAAAGTCTGGACCTTCTTAGCGTTGAGCATTGGCGAACTCCACGGGTTTTTTCGACGGAAAAAAATCTAGACATAACAGCATTCTCGGCACAAAGGAAATCCGGACGCCACAGCGGGCTGGGAGGCATCAGCGAGCGTGTTGCTAGTGGAGCGACTGAGCGGCTGAGCGATGTAAGTTTCCAAAAGCCCTCTTTTGCCCGCGCCAGTTTTCGAGCAGCAAGATATTAGAAATGGGGTGAGTCTGGGCAATGGGGCCAGCCTGGGTGGTGGCAGGCCTGCGCGGGTCGGCAGGGTCAGCGCCGGCCGGCAGGGCCAGCGCTGGTCGATTTAGGAGGTCAGCGTAAGTTGTCGCCGGGAAGGTGAATAAGCCCTGGCGGTTACCAGGTGACGGCGAGGTCAGTCCAAGCGTCGGCTCTGAGGTCGAGGAGTCTTCTGAGTTGGTCGTCCTCGAGAACATTTTCACTTTGATGTTGTACAATTTGTTTAGCGAAGTTGATATCCTGGAAGGCGGCTCGGAGGAGGGCGGTACGGAAGACTTTGCCAGCGCTAAGTGCTCCGGTTTTGGTGTTGAAGGAGCCAGGGTTTTGGCTGATGGGTGAGCCGCGAGAGAGGGCCGTGCGTTCGCGGATGTCCTTGAGGGCAGCCTCTTTGGTCTGGGGGTTGCTTAGTCGCTGATGCAACAAGGGCAAATCGTTCCAGGCGACGGTCGTGGATCCGTCAAAGGGCTTGACACCAAGTGCCGGCAAGATTGTTTTTGTCATCACACTCTCCGTTTGACCCAAACAACGCAAAGTATATGCACTTTGCAAATACTCCACACGCATCACACCTGCCCCTTGCGAAGAAGCTACGGCGTTACGAATTGCCGTCTGACTCTTTTCGTCGTGTGAGTAACTGTCCTTATCACCTGTCTGGAAACTAGAGAACTGCTTCATGACCTCCTTCTTCTTTTCCTCAACTTCCTTCATCATGCTCATTAATTTATCGGAGTCCCACGATGTTTCATCACTCTTTCCCTGCGTTTTCGACCCAACTTCTGCTAATGCTTCTTTCGACGCCTGTGCTGACTCGGTCGATTGGGCTTCAGAAGATGCCGCTACCATGGGCACAATGAACCGTTTGGACAGATTCCTGCTGGACGTTTTCGTGGCTGCGATAGCTTGCATGTTGACTACTTCTCTTAATATTCGACTCTATCCTAACTATATGCCCTATATCCTAATTCGAATTCTGACTACCAACGAATTCTGACTGTATGAGATTCTGACTGAATGAGATTCTGATACGGGCTTGGTATGGGGGGCCGGTTAATTTGGGTAAAATCAGGACGGTTTTTTTGGGGGGGAAAAAGTTTGGTGGAGCGGTCACATTGGAGTTCACTTGATTCTGCCCAGCTAGCACATCACGAACAGCAGGCAAGGCTGGGCTCAACGTCTCGGATGTGTGTCACACATTGGCAACGGTGGTTTGTTTGGTGGTGGTCGTGGTGGTGGTGCTTTTAACGCTGGACTGGCCGCCTGTAAGGTCGTTGTAAGGGTAGGGGACGCCTCCGGTCCAACGGGAAACGCGTGTGTTACTGACAGCCGTGGCCGCAGTGAGGATCATGGAAGCGATGAGCAGTCCGATGGTGCCGCAGACGATAACGAAAATGGAGTTAGGTGTGCGGTAAACTCCACCGCCGGGTGCACCGCCAATGCCGGCGGGCATGGGTATGTATTTGACCCGCGGGATCTGTGTCAGGTGTTTAAGTTTATCTGTTTTAGCATCGTTCTTGATGTTGCGCTTTTTAGTGAAAGCGTGCAGTGTCTTGCCGTTGAGTCCGTCAATGAATTGGGTGGTGAATTTGTTCTTTGTTAGCGTATGATAGCAGAACCCAGGGCGCTTTGTCCAGTAGATACTGCCGTCGTGCGCAAAGAACTTGCCCGCGCGCCCGCCGCTGCCACTGCCGCACATGATGTGGGATAGCGAGCCGTCCTCAATGACCTCCATATCTCTGTCGCGACCAGCAATATAGGCGTCCACAAGGTTACTTCGAAGAAGCTCCCGTAAGTGTTTTCTCAAATATTTGCTGCCACCGCTCCGGCCGCTGCTGTAGATGGCTTCGTCACCGACCACGAAGAGCCAATCGTAGGATTTCGAGGCGGCCTCGAGCGTCTGCTTGAGCTCCTCCCAGTGCCGCTCCGTGGCGCCGGGGACGGGGAAGCCCTGACCGAGAATGCGCGTATCAATGAACGCAAAAAATACAGATACCTCGGGCGCCGACATCAGGGCAGAAGCGGAGCTCGTGTCCGTAAAGGTCTGTGTGTAATGATAGAAGAAGTTGGGCAGCGTCCAGCGTGGACCGCGGTCCTCCGTGTATCGCAGTGGGTCTTCCTCTTCGATCTCGCGCACGCGAGTGAAGTGTCCATACGTCGCATTCGTCCGAAGCACCATCGCCGTAACGTTCCCGTCCCAGTCATGTCCGCCCAGTGCCACAAACCACGGACAGTTCAGCTCCGGTCCACTGTATACGTCACGGAACTCCTTATACCACCGCGCGTCTTCTAGATTCGCCACACCCTCCATGAAGTTAGAGCCCGGAGATACAACAAATGACAACGGTGGATTCGCCGCTGCCGCCTTCAATGAACGAGCCACCGCGTGCTGCTGCGCATTCCCAGCACCCCAGTTGCCCAACGAAGCGAAATGCAACTGCGCCTGGGCCAGGCCCAAGAGTAAGGCACGCCTCATGATCATGCTTTGCACCCTGATCTTGCACCCTCGACTCTGCACCCCACCCAAACCCACCAAACCCCACCCAACCCTTTTAAACAAACCTTCTTGTCAACAACCTCCTTTGGCTTCACCTAAGGGGCTCCAATCATTTTTCATTCCCATGCCGAATTATAAAACGTGCTGCCGATTCTCCTAGGTAACCCCTCCAACTGCTGTATCCAACAACCGCAATGAACCGTCCGCTGTTGTCTTGTCGCATCCCCACACCCGGGTTTGACAACACCGGGTGTGGTGTGCGGTTCTAGAACACTAGTGCGGTCGATCGATGTATTTGTCGAGTAAAAAATGAGTGAGGATACTCCCACATTTGGAGGCTCCCCACCGGAAGCAACCAACAAGGAACCAGCCGACATAGAGCCGAATATGACAGAAGCGGGCAACACACCAGAAACTGGCTGTTCATCGGGATGTCCAGCGGCGGCGTCGAGTCTGAAGATTCCACCCAAACCCCAATTGGGCCTTGGACCGAGAACTGGACCTCAGACGAGGCTTGGACCCCCAGGAATGGGGTCTGGAATGGGACCAGGAATGAGACCAGGAATGGGGCGTTGCCCTTTTGCACATGGAAGAGCCAACCCCCGTGCTGCTGCAGGCGGGTACGGGCAGGTAACGTACGCGGAAAACTCATCCGCCGTCTATGAAGATGCAACCAAGCGGAACCAAGTGCTGGAGTGGGACGAGATCCAGAAGCATGTCACCAGAGAGAGTGCCTGGATGGTGCTCAACGGTAAGGTATACGACATAACCGACTATCTCTCCGTCCACCCTGGTGGTAGTGAAATACTTCTTAAGTTCTGCGGACGAGACGCGACCAAACAATTCATGTCCATCCACCCCTGGGTTAATATCCAGAACATCATTGGACATCGGCAAATTGGTATCGCGTCATCACGACAGGCGGCTTCCAACTCCCTTCGACCGTAGCGGTAAGCACTTCCGGATAGTTACCCACGAGGACAAACGAGAGGGGAATAAGTCCGCGAGGACAAGCAAGAGGGGTACATATGGTGAGCTTCAAGCACAGGAGTGTCAGGTGTCGGCATCGGATGCGGCCATGGCCAAGACCATTTTTGACAGGGCTCGCCATATGCCGAGCACACGAATTCTTTCCTCCCATTCCCGTTTACGGTTTTGTATGCCTTCGAAGTATTGTTGTCGGTCTAGAATTTGGTTTACGTCATTTTCCTTGACCAGAACGCCATTGAAGACGGGCTTGAGATTTTTCTTCTCATACTGATAGCCGGTGAGTGCCTTGAAGTGGGGCAGTTGCAGCTTATATGCGGTGAAGGAAACGGATGGGTAGACCGAGTCTTTGAGATGGACCCAGCCTGGTGGTATGCTTGTATGGTTCTTAACGACCCAGACCCTGCTACCCGATTCGCGTTTGGTTGCGAGCATTTGTTCGTCTACAAGTTCGGACTGGTTCAAGGTATATAGGGGGCAGCAAACTTTTTCTCCAGCAGTGTGTACGCGATTTGAGCCAGGGAAGGTTCTAGAGGATTTCATAATGGTCTTGATTGGATTCGAACCTGGGATTAAAGTCCTCGCCATTCTATTAAGTTGTTTTTCGGTGTACAAATCGACGACATCTAGTTTAGAGTAAACTGGCTGGCCTCGGAATAACGCCTTAATTTTGGCATCGGGCTTTAGTATTTGATTCGGTTTGAGTGCCCCGGGCAAGGCGTACACCTGGTTGTTCTTAAAGCCGGATATGGAGGTAGGCATCTTGTCACTCTTCTCAATCATATCTTTTACGTGCTTTATGTCCAGCTCGTATAGGTGCTGTGCGGATAAGGCATCGATCAATTGGTCGTCCGAAATCACCGAATTACTCACCTGTCCTACCTTTATAAACTTTCGTAGAGAACCAGTCCATCTACGAGCCTCGCAATATCGAGGCGTAACGTCGAACATTGCACCTGCCGGGCTGATAGATATAACACCTTTTAATGAACGACGAATTTCCTCTACTCGTGACCACGGATTAATCCAACCATTCTCCTTACGCTCCTGATAGATCAAACGTAAACGATCCGAGGTTGCCTTCAGATCATGAACCACGTGTAACCATACCTTGCTGTAATCATCTCCCCACCCTTCCTTCATTGAGCTCTCGTGCTCCCTGCCTACCTGCACTAACCTGCCTCCCTGCACTGTATTGCTTCCTTGTACTGCCCCTCCGACGGCCATGGGTTTACTCGCCGCACTGATGTCAGATTCATCGTCATTGGACTCACTGTCGTTAGACTCTTCGTCCCAAAATAAATCCTTCATTATGACGTCACGTGCTGGGTCACTGGGATCTTGTCCAGAGCTATGCCAAGCACCTCCTTCCCGCCTCCCTTCCTGGAGCGATACTACTCGGTCAGCTTCGTCCTGGGAGCCTTCGCCTCGAGACCCTTTTTCGGGGGAAGCGTTCCCTTGGGATCCTTCGTTCCCTTGGGATCCTTCGTTCCCTTGGGATCCTTCGTTCCCTTGGGATCCTTCGTTCCCTTGCATTAAACTACCGTCATCATTCAGATCATTGCCCATCTCATTACGGGGGATGCTGTCCTGGGCATCTACCCCCCGGCTGTTGCCTGCCGCCGGTTTCCCTTTGCTTGATGTGTTATCAGGTATTGTGCTACTGCCAATCTGTTCTGTACCCCTTACTCCTTCATCAACCTTAGCATTACCATCGAAGGACTGGAGTTGTCTCAGTTGGTTGTTGGTGTAGTCGCTTGTTCGTTCTAGGACGTAGTCCGGTGGTATTCGGGTTCCAATCTGAGTTGCAAATTTCCTCAGGTACAGAGGACGGAATTCGTGGTCTTGGAAACCTCTTACGGCATTGAACCTTTGAGCGGCACAATTGAAGGAAACATTGTAGAACTCGACCCCAACCCATGTGTCGACCATTGGCCAGAACACTTCGCACCAATACAGCAACGATCTTGGTGGTTTCGGTGTTGTTAGTCGCACGCGCTGGAAATGTGCGCCTTCCACGCGACCAAGTTGAACCTCCAAAAGGGACTTTTTATCCGTAAGCGTAAGCTCCCGCTTGGTGATATGCAAATCGATGCCTATACAGAGTCTTTGATGGCTTCCCAGGACTTGCAATAAGGTGCAGTAAGCGAACAAAATCGTCGAAGGCGATCCGTGCCGCGTCCTCAAAAGTTTGACAAGCTCGTACCGCCATCGTAACCGCAACGCCGATGACCTGTAGCGAACAATGCAGCGGCCAGCGGGTAAAGTACGACTCGCATATTGACTGGTGTACAGCTCTCGCTTACCCAGTCCTGGCATAAAGAAAGGGTCGTCAGGTAGAATGACTTGGAAGCGTTCTTGGAACCAGGCGAACACATGGAACGGTTCTCGGTCCATGAGCTCTCCCGCCCGAGTACTGTAGACCGACAACAACAGCGCTTGACTCAGCTCATCCCCTATCACCTCACTCTGTATCAAGTACCCATGCACCCCCAAAGACGAACACAAATTCCACGCCATTTTCTATCAGCCCAGCGGCCGCCCCCACGGTCCGCCCGCGGCCGCCCACACGGTCCGCCCCGGCCGCAAGTCCGGCCGTACTGTCGGCATCACTTCTATTGTCGGCAAAAGTGTGGGTCTCGAAAAATGTGTTAACGGGCAAGTTTGCCGAAGCAATACAGGAGCACTCAACGAGCACTGACTATGCAAGCACCCGAGATACATGTCAACCCGCCGTCTGCCGGTGCATGGAAGCGCAACATGGGTCGGGATTCGCTCTCGGCGAAGCAAACGACGACCGTTAAGGCCGCGGCTGCGGACTCAGGACTTGAGGGTATCCGCGCAGTGGAAGCTTCTCGCACCCCAGAGGTGCTCAAGATCTCGCAGCACCCGCACATCGACGACCCCGAGGACCTCACGGAACTCATCTCCAAAGGCGGCGTCAACGCTTTGTTTGGCGGCTCCCAAGCCTCCGCCGAACCGGCCGCCAGTCAAGGCGCCAACAACCAAAAGGCCAACAACCAAAAGGCCAACAACCAAAAGGCCAACAACCAAAAGGCCAACAACCAAAAGGCCAACAGCCAAACGACAGAGAGCAAGGATCCAGCCGCAGCGGCTGCCAAGGGTGCTCTGAAGGCGCCTTCAGAACAAGGGATCAGGAGTCGCAGCCCGGGTCCGATCAGTGCGGGTGTGAGCGACATTTCTTTCAGTAACGACGAGGCCAGTGTGAGTCCGAGCGTGACGCCAACGAGTCTGTTGGCCGAAAGTCCTTCTCCGTCGATGAGTTCAGTGTCATCGCGGGCAGACTTTGACCCCTACCGCGATGATGAGTCAGAAGCCGAGTCGCAAATGACGCCCATCACCTCGCTCTCCGACGCATCGAGCGTCGTCGGTGAGCCCGACGAATATTACATTCTGCCCACCGAGGACTACTTCCATCGTGCCCCTTCGCCCGCCGTCGCGCGTCTCCATGAGGTCAAAATTCCCGCAGAGTACTACTTCACGCCAGCCTCGCCCGCCGCGCCAGCTGCCCCCGCCGTGCCACCCATGAGAGCTTATAACAAACATCTCGCCCCACGCACTGCCGCCGCTACCAACGAACCCGTGGCTCAGGACGAACCCAGTACTGCCGACCACTCCGCCACCACCGAAGCCGAAGCGACTGAGGACGTTAAGGAAGAAGCAGTCAAGGACCAAGCAGTCAAGGACCAAGCAGTCAAGGACCAAGCAGCCCCGGAGGAAGAGTCGATGGCTGGGGCGGAGCAGGGCACGCCCAAAGTTGGGGAGGAAGGCGAAGAAGGCGAAGAAGGCGACGAGCCTGTTGATACCAAGGCAAAGGGCTCCGGCGAACCCAGTCTAACTGTGGTCCTGCAGGGCTATGCAAGTCTCTACCGAGACATGCAGCGTAAGCGACAGCAACTGCGGCATGCGGAAGAGTGCCTCGCTCTCGCAGAAGCCACCGCGGCAGAAGAAGCGAAACGCCTGGACGCCTTCGAACAGTACGTACATGACGTCGAAAAGAGGGCAGAACCGTACCGGAAGTTCCTCTCCTTCTTCGGCTGGGCCTAGGATGCCTCTGTCCAGAGCGTCTGCGCCCAGACCAGCTGAATTGCACCAGCTGAATTGCATTTGCATGATCGATCACATTTTTCGAACGCAACGAAAGCACCCATGGCGGTGCCACCAGGTAACGAGTCACAACGGACAGGATGGGGCGTCGAATAGTACGTACCCGCCAAAGGGTGTAATATCCCCCCGGTAAATAGTCGCGCGACAAACAATTAGTGAGACAAAAATTGTCGGCTAGTGCTTCTCTTGCGCAGTGTGTTTCTCTTGAGCCCCTCCGCCCAGCTGCTTCCAGTTGTCGAGCATTAACTTCTGCGTGGTCAGAAGTGCCTCACGGGCCACGTCCTTCTGCGGGTAGTTCATCATCTCCATGATCTTCGCTTTGGCCCCGATGTTGGACATGATCTGTTTCCCCGTCGGATATAGACGGGCGAACTCGCCCAAGTCAAACAAAGCCAGAGATAACGTCTGCGGTTCCTCACAGGTAAACAAAATGTTGGATAGCTTCTTAACAGCGTCGTACTCGTTGTCCTCAAACCTCTAGAGCGTGTGTATGTGGCACTGTGTACATGTGGCACTGTGTACATGTGGCACTGTGTACATGTGGCACTGTGTACATGTGGCGCTGTGTACATGTGGCACTGTGTACGTGGAAAGTGGCACGTTACGTAAAACTTACGTTGACGTTTTCGATCCAGAACTTTTCAGTATGCAATGGACCAGGAGTAAATTTGCAGGCGTCCAGTTCCTTGAGGTATCTGTCGAAGTGGTTAATCTGGTTGAGTGAGTGATAGAACTTCCTTTGTAGGGACTCGATGTCATTGCTTAGTTCCTCATCCCTCCATTTTTCGTAGGTCAGCGAAGTAAGTGTGTAATCGACCTTTTGTTGGATCAGTATCTCGAAAATCCATTCTTCATCAACGAGGTTGTTAAGGAGCATGATACTTGCACGGACGATCTTCTCCTTCTTAATGCCTCCAAACATAGCTAGGAAAGAGCGGAGCATGGATCTATGGATATAAAGAGGCCCTTTCTCTTCCACGACTTTCCGGTTAAAGCTGAGCTGCCACAGACATAGGACCGCGTAGTATGTTTGGTACACGTCCTTGCTTGTCAGACCCTGGCAGATCACACCGCGCAAGGTCGATGAGTTGCACAAGTCCGCTCTTAGTGCATCTAGACGTAGCAAGCTCGATATCGCTGCTAATCGACCAGCACTAGTCATCTTCTCCTGACTCGGGTCAATAATCAACTTGAATAACGGCCGCACGTCAATTGTACCCGGATTATAGTTCAAACACGTAGAAATCAGCAACGCAAAACTGTCATTCACAACCTTACCATTACTCGGCCATGAACGAGAGAACGCGGCATACGCACCATCCACACCCGCAATTGCCGGACAATTCGCAACCAAAGACCAGTTGCTCGTATCCACTGCATCCACGCCAATTGCGACATCCCCTTGTGCCACCCGTGTGTGCGACCACTCCCCTTATCTGTGTCACACCCCTTGAGTGTGTCCTTGGATGCTTACGTTTGCAGCCGTCGATAATGAGCGAGGCGATATACTCGGCCGCTTGAGGTGTCTTGTTGATGGAGCGGAGCGACATGAGGAGAGCCTCCAGAATGGCGGGATCTTTAAGGAGCTCGTCGGACTGGGTGGAGGCGGCGGCCGCCGCAGACTCCAACAGGTCGACATACTTTTGGTCAATCTCTCCTTGCCGAGCCAAGTTAACGAAATCTGGTTTGGGCACCGCTTCCCGCACGGCGGTGCCAGAGCCACCCTCCTCCTGACCCATGAGCCTCATCTTTTCAGTGTCCGCTGGCATCTCAAATTTTGTGGGATGCCTTTAAGGAATGGCCGGCTTTTTAACTCCACTCCTCACGGCGGCAGTTTATACCGGCCGAGACAAACCCCTACTGGAGCTAGAACGCAAGGATCCCCAGTCCCTCATTGAAGCAGCTCTGACTGAATTGTCTGACCTTCCTCCCGATGTCACCTTCGCAACTCTTAGATATCTAGTTACAATTGTAAAGAGAACTGTAGGCACTCCCACCCTCTCCTGGCCCCAATATCTACCCCTCCCCTCCCGCCGGCACGGGATATGATGGTTGTAGCATTGTAGAACTTATCCACTGAAGTTTATAGGCAGTTCTTCAAGAGCCTTGTTGAAGATCGCTGGCTGGCTTTACGAGGGGAAACCGAGACCGACGTGCTCGTAATGACTGCTTACTGCGACCTGGCGGGTCAGGTGAGCCGACGTGCACAGTTACAGGCCGAGGAGTACCTGCATCTGGTTGCGTTGTTGTCGACTGGGCTTGTGCAACTACTTGGTCGCGGCGGCGGTGCTGGAGCCGGCGCCGGCCCGGCGCAAAATGACGGCCTGAAGGTTTCATGTTTTAGTCGCGTGTTGAGGGAGTTGTTTACTCGAAGACTGCCTGCCTACCGCAGCACGCAACGCCGAGTTTTGAACGCCGTATTGGAGGATCACAGCACAGTCGTTACACGCTACGTTGAGCAATTCTGGGCGCAACAGCACTTGGCGGCAGACTCCACCACGGCGTCTGCGACCGGTGCCTTGCCGTTCCGAGAGTTCAAGAGCATGGTGCAGGCTATGGTCCTTTCGCCCGTCTTCCCGGACCCCACGGCGCCCAACGTTCCGGTGGAAGTCTTTGCGGCTTCGCTGGACGCGAGTGGGTTGTGCACTGCCGTGTTGCACGGCGGGGCCGCGTTGGAGCCGGTGGTGGCGTGTGCCTTGGCGCAGGCGGCTGAGTGGCCGATTGCCGCGCAGTACAGCGTGTTGTTGTCGCTGGCGGCGGCGCAGCCGGCGACGTTCGAACAGCTCGTGGCGCAGGGCGCGCCCCCGACGGCGTCGTTGCAGCCGCTCGTGGCTGAAGTGCGTGCACACACGCTGCCCGCGCTCTGCGAAAGCCTCGAAGACCATATCGCACACAGCTGTGCACGGGCCGTTGACGTCGCACTGGAAACCGCCGGCGACGCGGGCGACGCCTGGACCGTCGCCGACGGGGTCGCGGTCGTCCTCCTTGGGCGCTCGCGCCTCGTCGCGCGGGAGCTGGCCCAGTTCAACGACTCCGTTATCAACGCGCTTTTGGCCACACACGTTGCGGACCTAACGGTCGAAAAGAGCAGTAGCTAGCTTACAGGTCCGGGTTGGAGGAGCCAGAGGGGGCCGGGTTGGAGGGGATTGGAGGAGGAGCCAGAGGGGGTCCAGAGGAGGCCGCAGGGCCCTATTTTGCGCCGGTATGGTTGACGCAGGTATCGTTTATCATCTGTCGTATGACAGCCTTGTGAGGATGATTCGGCTGTCGATCCCTACTGGGCTCGTCCTTACAAGGGTTGTCCTTACAAGGACACCCAACTAACCTGCCGCAGGGACGCCGACCGCTCCGTAAGGTAAGTAACGGCCGTCGGCAAAGCGGTACCGTCACGAGGCTTGAGGAAGAGTTCTTTGAGCGAAAGCGTTAGCGTTGCATCCGGCCTCCGCCGCAGGGTTGCGAATTCGAGGGACAGAACGTTAATTTTTTTGGAGGCCAGTTTTCGTGGGCACGGGAATTCCGGAGATGGCGCTGTTCAAGAATTTCATTGAACCCGGCAGGTTGGCCATTGGCCGATATGGATGTGTGACAGACAAGGTAAAGCTCGAGAACCGTTGCTCGTGCATGTGTGTGGCACACGTGTGTGTGTAATATTGTGTTAGCCGGTTGGATGTGATATATGGGTGTGTTTTAGGCTGTCATTATTGTCGATATCGTGGACTTGAACCGTGTTATCGTGGTGGTGCCGGAAGCCAGCAAGCGTGTGTTGATTCCCATAAAGCGTCTCCAGATGACGGATTATAAAGTCGAGTTAGCCCGTGGTGCGTCTGTGGAGGACGTGGAAGGTGCTTTGAAGGAGAACGACGTTGTTAGCGAGTGGAAGAAGACTTCCTGGGGCAAGAGAACGACCGCTTTCTACGCTAAGCGTGCCCTGACCGACCTCGAGCGGTTCAAGGTTGTGCGCGCGCAGAAATACGTTGACGCTCAGATGTAGGCGCCATGCAGTTTTTGTCAGCCAACTTTTCCTCCCTCATGCTCCCAAAAAACGCCGCAAATGTTTATGACCGATGCTAATGCCCGCATCTATGAGCAACTGAATGTCATCCACGAAGAATACGTCAAAGCCGATGAGGGTCTCACTGACAGATACTTGGTAAGACAATTAGTTAGTTAGTTAACAGGACATGACTCTTCGGACAGACCGGTCATCTGACTCTTCGGACAGACCGGTCATCTGACTCTTCGGACCGAGCTCAATAATTGGAACACCCACGGAAGGGAAGTCAATAATAGTATTTTTTAGTTCTACATGGACATAGGAGGCTGGACACATGGTGCGGTGCTGATGATGGTCATAGCCGGAATAATGATGTGCAGTTGCGAGCCAGTGTACGTTTTAGGGATCGTTACGATCGTATACCCGATAGTAAGCTTGATTGTCTTTACGGAAGTGCGCAGACGTGCGGCGAACGAGGTGTACTTCCAACTACTGTGCGTGTTATTGCTAGCTTTATGCTCAGCCGACTTCATTACCATCTGCGCCGCCTTCCACGACCTGGGTATGGGTCGAAAGAAAGGCTGGGGACCTACAGCCGGTGTGCTGGCCGCGATCCTGGTGACCTGCTGCGCCGCACTCTTCGCCACCATTTTCGTCAAGAGCATACGCCACCACAAGAACCCGGACGCCGTCAAAAACAGCGAAGTCTAAACCTCCCAACTAAGTCTGCTCGGCGGCCTGAATGATCCAGGATCTGAATGATCCAGGATTTGAATGATCCAGGGTCTGAATGAACCAGGACCCGAATGATCTGAATGAACCAAGACTTGAATTATCCAGGACCTAACACACGGCCTAACGCACGGCTCTGGGGCTGACACCAGACGGCAACACAACGGGGCGACGCAGCCCATCCCGGCAGTCTATCTCCACTGTCTGTCTCGGCAGTCTGTCTCGACTGGGCTGTCCCGGTACTTCATATGGAGTGGGCGTCAGGTAGCCGATGCATCCGGCGGCCGACGCATCCGGCGGCCGATGCATCCGGCGGCCGATGCATCCGGCGGCCGATGCGTCCTGCGGCCGATGCGTCCTGCGGTCGATGCGTCCTGCGGCCGATGCGTCCTGCGGTCGATGCGACCGGTTATGTGACGTCGATTTTGGTTGACGGATCATGGGATCAACATGTTGTACACACAAGTGCACACACAGGTGCAAGGAACCCCAGGCTTCAATTGGTTGGTATCCCCCCGGTCGAGATGCGAGAACCAGAAAGGCTCTGCCCCCCGAACGTTCGCTCTCAGAGGCAGATAGCCAAAGCCTTTTTGGCCTGGTAAGGATCAAGCAATACGCCCAGGAAAGCGTTCAGGCACAAAAAACTACCACATTACCAACAGTTGGTATCACACACACAGTCGGGTGACACAAGGCTTCGGGTGGTCGGGGACAGTCAGGGTGACATGACAAGAACAGCTAGTTCGAGTGGACAGTAAGTTCGAGTGGAAGAATTATGTCATGGCGATGTCTTGATGGTTGTCATGGGATAGGTAGTTAAGTTCTCTTCGGATTTCCATGGTGATTTTGGTATGATGATGAACCTTGATGAGTTTCTTGATGGCTTCTAACTCGTTGTGATTGAGTTCCGTCTTCCATCGTTGTACGAAAACGAGGAAAGCTTGTTGCCAGATGACAGGTGGAATTTGGTCCGTCTTGGTCATGTAGGAGATGAAGTAGGCGGCGACAACGCGTACGGCTGCGAGGGGTAGGTTATTTTTCTTGTTGATGAGGCGTAGCATGGAGTAGTAGAGTTGGTTGGTAGGTGGTTCGTGTTTGCAAAGTTTTATTAGAGCGGCTGCGACATGTACAGCAGGTACGCTTTGTTTGGCTACGACGCTGTTAAGTATTACGGCTTGTTTGTAGTTGCATTTGGAGTCCAGTATGACTGGGAAATAGATGGCTTTAAAGAAGGCCGCGGGTTTGTACAGGCATTTACCAAGTGCTTCGAACAAATGCACATTAAGTCGGTCAAACTTTTGAATATCTTGGAGCACTGCCGGCAACAAGACATAGGACATATACTTCTGGCTATCCCCCTCGCCGACACCATTCACAAACATGGGTGTGACTGCCGCCACACCATGAGGTGTCCACCTCTCAGGCTGAGTCAACCATAATACGTCCAACCAGTTCTTGAGATTCGGAATAAACCGTAACGCCTTAGGCAGCTTGCCCACTCGGTAATGCGACATGTAATCACCTACATCGGCAAATAACTTCTTCGTACTTTCATTAAACAACGCCATCTTCTCCGCCTCAGCCTCTGCACGGGACTTCTCCTGCATCTTGGCAAATATTAAGTCACCAATAGTACGACCACTATACTCACTACCAGCAGTACTATCTTCATTACCAACCACCCTCACAGAACTTGATGGACCCAAAACAGCATTCAAGTCCTCTTCCACAGGATACGCAAACTCATCCGTCTCTAACGTCGCATCCAATGGTGGGTACTCTTCCGTCACTTCCAGCAACCCTTCATACTCCTCATCCAGCACCATACCGCGACTCAACTCCTCTACCTTCGCCGCCAACCGATCGTTAGCCGCCAACCGACCGTTAGCCTCCAACCGACCTTCTTCAGCATTTCCCTCTTCGTCCTCTTCCTCTCCCCCTACACCACCTCCAAACCGCACCTTCTGCCGAGACTTACGCCGCACCTCCGTGTCCCGCTTTATAGCAGACTCCAATGATATAGGACCCGACCGACTCTGACGGCCCACAGCTGCTCTAACTACCTTCGGCATAAACCCTCGCCCCAACAAAATTTAATACCCCCACAACCCATTTACCTCCAAACTTGCCGAAATTCGTCAGCCATTAACTGGCCTCGAACGGTTCATGGTTGTGCGTCCGCAAACGCGTCACGCAACCAACTTGGCGGAAATGTCAAGTGCGGATCTCTGTTAGCCAACTTGCCCACATTCATCACGCCAAAATGCCCACATTCATCACGCCAAAAAAACAGATGAGCCTGACGCCCGGGAGACGAGTAACCGCTGGCCCCGGCACCCACGCATCCGACCCAGGGCACCCAAGCACGGTCCGTGCTCGGCACGGTTTGAGACAAGGTCTCAAATACCACAAACAAGAGCCCGCACACCGTGGGCTGAGATACCGGCAAACGTTCCAGATACCCATTTCGTGGAATGCCAGACAACTCAACTGTCTAAAAGACCCTTGAGACAAGAACAGTGAAGAAGGGACACCGTCGTCAGTCCGGTGTTTTTTCTCAGTTTTTTTTTTGGGGAAGATGCGCCAGAGTTTAGCTTCGTTTCCGCAGCACCAGAGACAGAGCCGTGGGAGAGCTTCGAACTAAATGGTAGAGCAACGACGAACTCAGCGCCTCGTGCTTGGGGCAATTCATCTCAGTTCGAAGGACAGAACGTGAAATTTTTGGCGGGAGTTTTCGTGGGTCGAGAATTAAGGAGTGATGGCGTTGTTCAAGAACTTCGTCGAACCCGGCAGGTTGGCTATTGGCCGATATGGATGCGTGACGGACAAGGTAAGGCCGAAGAGCTGTGGCTCACAGATCGCACATGTGTGAATGATATTCGAACCAATGTGTGTGCGGCTGACATTAACGTGGCTATAATTGGGTTGAATCACGTCTGTGAACACGTCTTCTTTGAGCTGAGATGAGCAGTGTCGTAGGCTGTTATTGTTGTCGATATCGTGGACCTGAATCGCGTGGTCGTGGTGGTGCCTGCGGCAAGCAAGCGCGTGCTGATTCCCATCAAGCGTCTCCAAATGACCGACTATAAAGTCGAGTTGGCCCGTGGCGCCTCTGTAGAGGACGTGGAGGCTGCCTTGAAGGACAACGACATTGTCAGCGAGTGGAAGAAGACTTCCTGGGGCAAGAGAACGACCGCTTTCTACGCTAAGCGTGCCTTGACCGACCTCGAGCGGTTCAAGGTTGTGCGGGCGCAGAAATACGTTGACACTCAGATATAAGGCCTTTTTTTACAAGCCAACCTCGCCACCCTTCCCCCCCGGAAAAAAAAAGCATTCCGGCGGCGAGCACTCGGCGGCATTTATTAACCATTGAATTCAGGCTGAATGGGTTCCTCAGAAGTTCTTTAATTTATAAAAAGCTAGCGTCAGGACGAATCAAGCCTCAACTTCCATCTCAGCCACCGACTGCACTCATTCCACCGCATTTCAGCGCCATTCACGTGTTTGATCCGCCGTAGAAGACGAATATTTATTTCGCGAAAAATTGCAGATGAGAGCACTGTCAGCACGAGGCAGCCAAGACGTGTGGGGAGTATTGTTGGGGGCGACATTGGGTCTGGATGCTCGAAGCCTGGACGTGGAAGACTCCTATCTGGAGCCGGAGGAAAGGAAAAATCTTACCAGCGCTGCGGATGCTGACAACGTCAGTACCTGTTCGAATTTCCGGTACATTGACTGCTCCGGGAGCGGCGCCAATCGGGTGTCAAGTGTTTTAAGACGTCATTTCTCGGACGGGATCATACCGGTGCGGCCTGTTAGTGAGGGGTCTGTTAGTGAGGGGTCTGTGAGTGAGGGGCCTAGCGAGGGTGAGGAGCCTATCAGGCTGGTAGACCGGGAGTTTAGTAATCATAGGACCCTGGCGACGTTCGCAGCAGAGCATTCGTTAACGGAACCAGTGCTTCTAACGATCGTGTTGGAATCATTAAAGTTATTGCGCCAGTGTTCGCGCGGGAAATTCTCGTCCACCGATCGAAAGGCTCTGAACGAGGTCCTACAATCAAAGTACCTGCCGCGATACATGAGGCAGTCCCGCAGAGCGCCATACCTGACGGGTATGCATCAAATTGCGCTCGATGTTGACGGACATAAAGACCTGCGTAATTTATCTTGGTTTGGGGTGCCAGTGGAGCCCTCCTTTAGACTCCGCCTGCAGCCCTGCTTCGGTCAGAAGAAGCACAAGGCGATGAGGCAAACCGGTAAAGCGTTTGTTGATATGGCTATCAAAACTGGAGTCATAACCTGTCCCCAACTGGCAGCAGGATTCGGGACTCGTTGCCGCCGGCTCACCTGTCGACAGGAACATAAACTGGAAAAGGTGCTGGCAGGTGGGTTCCGCAACTTCCGTCAATGGTGCAAGGCCGTCTCCAAATACCACAAGAAAACCATCGGCGTAAAGTCCGTATCGCTACCGACATTACGCCCAACGTCCACGGACTGCTAACCAGACCAGACAGGGCAGATATCGATCGGGACGCACCACTTGCGAATGTTTTTATTCAAAACCTGCAAGTACCACCTCATATTCAGTGTGTGCGCACACCTTTCAGACACAGAACGACACAAGAATAACGATAGTCGTCATTCACAGGCGTGCTGGCGGGAATTTACGGGCTTAAAAAAGGGAAAATTTATCGCAAAAAAACCAGCAAATGAGAGCAGTGCCAGCACGAGGAAAACGAGACGCATGGGGAGCGTTGGCGGTTCTGGACGCTGGCTCAGTATTCGCTGGCTCAGTATTCGGCGTAGAAGGCACCGATTCTGAGCTGGATGCAAAGGTGGTGGACTCTGAATTCAGCTCTGGCCGCCGGGCAACAAGCTCGATGAGACGCGGGCTGCACATGGTACCAAGGGCGTACGCCACCCCACAAGCCATCGTCTCTCCGTATCAGCCCTTGACCTCGTTCTCCTCACAACATCCGTTATCGGACAGACTGTTCCTTGCCATCGTGCTGGACTCTTTGGACCTTCTGGACCGGTTTTCACGCGGGAAATTTTCGGAACGAGAGGCTGTAAACGATGTGCTGTGCTCGAAATATCTTCCGCACTTCATGAAAATGAAACACGGTGTGCCGTATCTGACTAACGTGTCCGAGTTTGCGGTCCATGCCGCCGGATACCCGGATTTAGGGAAGTCACACGAAGCCCGCCGACTGCCCTCCTTCAGACCCGGTGCGCAGCCCTTCTTCAGACTCCGGCTGCAGCCCAGCTTCGGTCGGAAAAAGTCCTCAGCGATGAAGGAGACCGGCAAAACGTTTGTTCGAATAGCTGTCGAAAGCGAACTCATAACCTGCACCAAACTGGTGACAGGGCGATTCCGAGCCCGCTGCCGTAAGCCCGCCTGTAGACAGGAACACAGACTAGTAAAGGCGCTAACAGGCAACTTTCGTAACTTCCGCCGTTGGCGCAAGGCCGTGGCCAAGCACTATAAAAACACCATCGGCGAAGAGCCCGCACCGCGCGCTCGCTCTTATATCCACAGCGGCTACTAATCTGGCCAACCAATCATCACACGAACGTTTTTGCGTAAAACTTATAATCATCATTTAGGGTACGGGTTTTTTTAGTGGCTGGGGAATAGATACGTCATCTTGCTTGTCGCATAAGCCACGCCCGATTGGACAGTGCGGTTGGGCGGGGGCTTTTCAGGTAGTTTCGGTTCGTTTTTGCGGGAGCAGTATAATTCAGGCGGATCGCAAATAATTTGAGCGAACGTGTGTTTTAAGCGAACGTGTGTGGTGCCTAATTAGATAGCTAGCAATGGATGATGAAGCATGGCAGCCACAAAGCGATAATGATCAGCACAGCAAAATGTTTGTCGGAGGTTTGGCCCAAACTGTAACGTCAGGTAAGAACGTTCACGCACGCGCGCGGAACGTCACCGGAACCCCAACCCAAAGTGTTTGTCCGGAGGGTCTGGCATGCACGATCTGAAAGTGTTGTTCAGATTTTCTGAAAGCGTACTTTTCGAACTATGGCCCGGTGCAAGATGCGTTTGTTTTGATGGATGAGCAGTCGGGGCGGTCACGTGGGTTCGGATTTGTTACATTCGAAGACCCACTCACGCTGAAGAATGTTTTACGGCAGAAGCCACACATACTGGGGAACAAACAGGTTGACTGCAAACATGCGGTGAACAAGAATATAAAACGTGCGCCCAAGAACGCTTCCGTGCCCAACTTTTGCAGCGCCTGGGCCACCGCCTATGACTCACGGCAGTCGGTTGCGCCGGACGAAGCGGAAGCTACTTTGTAAGCCTCACCACCTGGCATCTTCGAGTGCCTCCGGGTAGCATCGGGCACCTCCTGGTTAGGACCGGGCACCTCCGGGTAGCGAGCGCCTAAAGTCTGTTGGGCAGCTGGGCGTAAGGGTGGTACCCTTACTGGGCGTAACGGTGTTGGTGTTTAAGTGTCTTTTGCAGCAAGGAGGAGCCTTCGCCGAATGTAGCTGGGCAGTCTTCCATGGGTGCGTCTTCTATGGGTGCCTCGACGTTGGATCCCTCAGCGTTGGGGCACGAGTGGGAAGAGTCTGCTGATTTATTCTTGACAGGTGGGGGCAAGTCGTATTTGGCGCTGAGTGGGGACAAGTGGTTGGAGGATTGCGAGGAAGCGGACGCGCGGAAGATCTTTGTGGGAGGTTTGCCGGATATCACGCCATTGGAGTTTGCCAAGTATTTCGAACACTTCGGTGAAGTGGCTGACGCGATGATTATGTATGATCGCAAGAGGCGACGGCAGCGTGGGTTCGGCTTTATTACATTCGCCTCCGATGAAGGAGTGCGGAACGCACTCGACATTAGCAGACACCCCGTCAAGGGGAAAGTCGTCGAAGTTAAGAAGGCACACCCCCTCGTTCTCCAGAGCGAACGAGTACCCGCGAAAAAGGAACGAGACGCTGAACTTCTCCGCCGAGAAACCGTCTCTGAACACTACACCTTCACAGCCATGGACGAAACGGCCTGCGCCTCTTTCCCCAGCGCAGGCCCTGGTCCTGGCCCAGGTTGCAACCCCGCCGGCCCGCCCCAAACGTATGAGTCCCGCTACCCTGAAGCGCCCTGGAACACATCCTGGCTCAGTCAACGCTAGCCCCACGACGAGACGGGGGACATGATCGTGCCACGGTCGCGACCAGGGGGGGGGTCAGTGGCCTGGGATGGGAAGCTGCCTAAAAGAAGAAGCCACGTGGGAGCTATGGTGACTGTATGATTTTGAATGCCGAAAAATCCTTGTATCGAGTAAGGAGGGCTATGCTAACCAAGCTGGGGTGGGCGTGCTCAGAGTTGGTGGGAGATGATTCGTGTGCGGAGATCGTTTGTGGAAATCGTTCGTGGAGATCGGGGATGTTTTGTTCTTTAGATGGATCTATTATCTGCAGCGGAGGTACGACGACTTGCACTGGAGCACGGGTATGTGGAGTCGGGCTCAATGAAGGGTCAGGAGGTGTTGCTGTTCTACAAAGCTTCGGAGCCGTTTGCTATTTCTCTGGAAGCTTATCTACGAACAGGTGACTTAGCAGTATTCCTACCGCATCCGCGCCAAAAGGCTTGGCGTCTGTTCCACTTCGGCGCTCTTTTCTCTACTGAGACGCTCCGAACCGTACTCGAAGCACCCTTCAGCGACTCCGCATTCTGCTACCATCTCTCCGAAATACTAGCCAAGTCTCCGACCAATCCTCCCCCCTGTCCCGAACAAGTCGCTCTCGAAAGGCAACTCACTCTTATCGACCGCGAAGTCAACGACCTACAACGCGAGCGTAGTGAACTTGCCAGAACACTTAAGAGCCTCTCACCCAACGAAGACGACGATGACTGCCGATCTTCATACAGTAAAAAAATGACTACTGTAATGACGGACGTCCGCGCTCCCGGTAGACAAACCCTCCGACACGACCTTGGTTGATCCGTGGTCGCACCCCCTCCCTCCTTTCTCCGTGCTCCCACCCTCGTCATTCAATTCCCATCGCCTGCCTTTCTTGCTTAGCGCATCCTTCCCTGTCTGCTTTCCTTGAAAATTATGGGAGTTATGCAGACCAACAGACCGTCACGGTTGCGTCGGCCAGTGTGGAGGATGTGCGGATGACTTCGGTGACTTCGGACATGTTGATGTCACGGGCGAACGGTGACCGTGCGCGCGGGAACAAGGGCGTGTGGTCCATGTTTTTCCCGGACGCTCAAGAGGAATTCGCGCGAGCTTGGACGGCCAAGAGTGTAGCCAGTGTGGCATTGGGACGCGGGTTTGTTGTGAATTATGACGACGGGACGGCGACTTGGTCGGACGTTTCGCCCTTGCTGGAGTCGAAGCTGCGTCAGCAGGGCGTGCAGACAGGCAGCTTCGGCGGCAAGGCTTCCGTACGTATTCGTTATTTGGTGCTCGGTGACGAAGGCAATTTCTACGTCAAGTTTGACAACGGCCGCATGGAATGGTGCGGCCAGGACAGCTTCGGCGCGGCGCTCCGGCGCGGAGTCAGCGAGCGACACCTACTCGTCGAAAAGGTCGCCTTTGCTCAGGAAGGCGGCTGGCTAATTATCTGGAGCGACCGGACCTTCGAGGCCGAGAACATTCCCGACACTCTGGAACAGAGACTCGGTGGGACTCGCGTTGACGACGGACGAATAACCGGCCCCGCCTCCGGCATCAAGGACATCACCCTGGGACCCGCCGGGGAGTGGTTCGTGATCTACAGAGATCACTCTGTCCAGGCAGACAACCTGCCAGATGGCCTATATAAATGTCTTAGCCAAATCAGAGAAAAAACCGGACGAGTCAGAAGCATTGCCTTTGGCGAAAACCGCAGCTGGTTCGTGCGCTATTGGGACGGCGCCAAATAGAGACGCTATTCCGGCCTTGGAGTGCCACCAAACAGGGTGCCTACAAAGAAGATGCCTTGATTCTCCTTATTTTATTAATACCCATCATGAATAAAATAGCCAATGTACTTCCAAAGCCTAAAGCGAAAAGGCCCCAATCAATGCTTTTTGTCATCTAGCACACGCGTGTGCTCAGAGAGCGCGCGCAAGGCGCGCTGTTTAATTTTTATGTTTAGTTCGATAGAGAAATACAATGGCGTGCTAGCCTTCAAAAAGCTATACTGCGGCCCATCCAACAAGCACGGTTTTGGAATTTTTACCTTAAGACAAGTCAAGTCTGGCGCTATAATTGTATCTGATGATTGTATAGTATTTGCCCAGGACAGTAGGTCCTACCGAAGCATGCGCTTATGCCCTCTTTGCACTCGAGACGGCCCGTGCGATTGCGGCAGTATAACCAAGTATGCCGAGGCACTACATATTTCAGAGTTTCGAGATGTAGACCCCCGTTTAGTCGCATCGCTCGATATTCTTCATCTTGACCTGAGAGTATATCACCGAAGGAAGTACTCGGAAATATTTCCAGAATGGCGAGGATGTATTGAGCAATTGGCTGCCGTTTCTAGGGTACCAGTCAGAACCTTGGATGAACTGACGGTAAGTGAGATTGTGACAATTAAGTTGTTTTTGCAGGGGCTTTTAAGGCTGGATTCTGTCGAGGTCGACGTACACAGCAACTGTGTGGATGCCACCTTATCCCAACGAGAACTTTTACATCGATGGCTCGAAATGGGGGAAGTGTAAGCCACGCAATACTCAATGCACCACAGCATAGTGTAACTTATTCCATGTGTTCTCAGTCCAGACAAGGCAGCTTTAGAGAGAGGTGAGCTGCCTCCAATCAAGGGATCGGCACTATGCGTTGTAGCCTCTATGATCAATCATGATTGCGACCCCAACGTGGAATTCATATGGTTTCGAGACGAGACAGATGGTCATCTCATACTCGAGGTAACACCCCCTCGAGGTAACACCCCCTCGAGGTAACACCCCCTCGAGGTAACACCCCCTCGAGGCAACACCCCCTCGAGGTAACACCCCCTCGAGGTAACACCCCCTCGAGATAACACCCCCTCGAGATAACACCCCCTCGGGGTAACACCCCCTCGAGGTAAATTACACCGCCTCAGATCACAGCTCTTAAAGACATACCTGTGGGCCAAGAGCTCTTGTCTTGCTACTCCAATTCAGAAGATGATCTTAACAATTTATTCGGATTTGTTTGCCACTGCAAACTGTGTCATAATAAGCATAACAAGCACTGATCAAACACTGACTCAAGGAGAAACGAAATTCAATGACACTACTAATGCAAGACGCGGCGGTCATTCCAAATGGCGGGGCGTTCATTACAGCCGTGTTGTGGCCGTCAGTCACGTTGGTCCGGTCTTTGCTGATAATTTCCAGGAGGCCGAGGAGGCACTAGGCCGAGGAGGCACTAGGCCGACGACGTAGACCAAATTATCCCGAAATACAGGCAGACATCCTGTGCCACCTGACCGGGTAGTAGACCGGCTGGGAAGTAAACCACCGAGGGGGCCGTCTGCGAGGCAGACTAGGAGGCTTGTGAGGCAGACTAGGACCGTCCGGGAGGCAGACTAGGAGGCTTGGGAGCTGTTTGGGAGGCAGGCCGGATAATAGGGGAGGGTCGCAGCTCTGAGCCATGTTACCTTCTTGGGGTGCGTTCAACGGGGCGTCTTGTATAGTCCCGTAGAGAGTCACGGGGTGGCTCACGTGGGAGTGTGTACTGCAGGTCTTCGCTCCAGCCTCGTGCACTTTTCGCAAACTCTTCGCGGTCTTTTTGCTCGAGCTGGTAGTTGCGGTGATAGCGGCGTTGCTCGCGACGACTGTCCCAGTGGTGCTCTTGTCTTTGCCTGTTATGCTCTTGTTGTCCGTACTCTCGTCGGCCGTATTCTCGCCCGTAGCTTTGGTCATATTCCGCCTGATATCTCCGGTGTGCGGAATCGCGACGGTGTGCCAAATGAACACGTTGTGCAGGAGCCACGCGTTGTGCAGAGTCCACGCGTTGTGCAGAGTCCACACATTGTGCAGAGTCCACACGGTGTACCAAATCGCCACGGCGCGCGGGGCTCGGGCTGGGGTCGATGGTCATTGATGCTTGGTCGCCGATCTTACCATTGGTGACAGTTTCTGAGACTATGATGTTTTTAACAAGACGGAATCGTTTACTTCGAGGCTGTCTTGCTTCTTCCAACTTCTCAAAATGCTCTTTGAGGAGATCGCTCAATACTTGGTTGTAACGATCCGCTGACATCTCTTTCAATTCCTTGTGGGTGTACATTTCGTTATAGGCACCAATATACATGTCACTATCGCTGAAGTAATCTGCGCATTCCTGGGCGGCCTTGGCCGTTACCTGGGCGAGCATACAAGGCAACCAGGCGTCCAATGCAGCATACTCAATCTGAGCATCAGATACCACCCCCGTCCAACGGCCCTTCGCCATCGGGCTGCAACCCTTCTTCCAAGCTGCAAAATCTTTGTAAAGTTCCGTAGCACATTTCATATCAACCGATAAGTATTCCAAAGACATTAAATAAGCATGAATGTCTCGAAGACCTTCTGCAGGCCGCCCAAAAAAACGATTCACTGCCAACATATCCTGCTCCAATCCTTTGCCATACTTAATAATCTACAGTCCGGAACAAATTTACAACTCTCTGCACACGAATTCAAGGTGGGAGGGGGAGGGGGAGGGGGATGGAGAGAGAGG